TCTCCTTGCTATGGGGAATAATCCTGAGCTGCTCTATTTCCACCCTTGGTAGAGGTAAAAGGCTCAGTGGCAGCTGTATTTTGCTGAAGAGGAGCCTTCTTCTCCTCTATTGCAAAGGTCACCCTATCATTTAGGGGAATGATCTGGAAGGGAGAGAAGATGGTGAAGATCCATTTTTGACTCAGTTGTATTTGGTTTCAGTCCATTACCCAACAAACCCAGGGGTGCATCCTGAAACACCTGGTAAAAGTCATCAAGGCCAGACATTTGAGAAGAGGTGGAGCTCTGGGCCCCTGCGTCAAGTTGCCAACAAGTAACTCTGGTTATCTCTAAATAGTCATGCCTCTAAATTCCAATTCTGACTACAGCACAGATCTCTGTGAGGTGAGTCACAGCTGCCAGGTAAGGACTGTACATGGAGTCGATGCTCTGTTTGTCCACATGGTTTGGGATTTAAAAGAAAAATCTTTTCAACTAGAAATTCCCTTATATTTGAAAAGGTAGAAAGCATCTGGGTGGGTGGATGTGTCTGACAAAGACAGAGAGAGTGAGAGGAGAGAGCACACAAAATAGGAAAAAGGGAGAGATAGAGAGAAGGGGCTTCTCTCTGAAAACTTCATCAGTACACCAAACACTCTGCCACAATAGCTACCACATGGCTCAGCCCTTGCCCTTCACCCTCACTGCCAGGTATTGTTGGGTGAAATCACAGGAGCCCTAACCCTGCCTCTGGGAGCGGGGCAGGGGGCAGGGCTGGGTAGACTATAATGAGATGATTTTAAAGCCCTGTTAACTTTTTCCGTTTTAACTGATATTTCTGGATGAGGCACCAGCTCTCTTGGGAGGTCAGTTCTAAGGCATTCCATGGAACCCAAAGCCAACTATAAAAGTCTAGCTCAGGACAGAGCTGCTGGGGAAAGAGTTGCACTTGAATCTCTACTTATTCCAAGTCTAGATTCAGAAGGCCACAATTAGGGGAGAAGGCTGCCTCTTTCCTTCCCAGTCCCACAAAGAATACATGGAATGACTTCAGAATTCCCTCTACCTCTTACGATCTAAGAATCAGAATTTCTTGCTTATTATTACAGAGGAACATTAATATCCAAATGAAGGCTCAGAGGGGTTGAGTAAATGCCCAAGAATCGCATGGCCAAGAAGCAGTAGAGTTGACCTGCAGAGGCAGGAGCAGCTCTGGTGGATACCAAGCCCACGTTTTTCTCCCCCGTGTGCAGTGCATTAGCACAGGACAAGTCTTTGAGGCTGCAAAATGAACGAGATCTAGTCCCTACCCCCAGGAGCTCAGATAGAGGCAAAGGCTTAGAGTATCTTAGGGAGTTGTAGTTCTACTTCCATTAGAGGCTCATCTTGGCCTGGAGCACAGTTTTCAGTGAAAGACTCTCCTTATACCTCAGAGTTTACACTTATGAAATGAGGAATAATGCCTACTGTCAATTAAAATGTACCTTTTAATATGCTCAAAAATTTGCAAAATATTCTAAGGCCCTTAGCACTACATCAATACAAAGTGTCACTCCTATTATTAATGGATAATTGCTACCACTATAAGAACATTTGAGTCTGATGCTCTGTACATTAATGAAATGAATTTGCTTGGTAAGTAAGGTGACCTTATACCAGCTCCCACAGCACAAACTGACAGGGGCTGACGTAACCAGATACAAGAAGATTTTGAAGTCTTGATTCCAGTTTTAGTTATGCTAACATAATAGGAAAAGGCCAAGCTGAATTATAAGAAAAATGGGAATGGGGTAGAAGTAAAATCCTGGTACCAAAATATAGGGTTAGGAGAAATACAAGGGTAACAATTACTGGGTGAAAGAAAGCATCCAACCCTTTAGCCATATTGTTTTTCATCTCCTGATCTGAATTCACACAGCAGGGTTACACGGCTGCTCAACAGCTGCCCAGCTCCATCCCAAGGCAGGTAAAACTACTACTGGGCAAGAGCGTGCATTGAACAAAGTCAACAAGCTCCATGCCTGCCTCCCATGGGAGACTGCAGACGTCAGAGGGGGCTCTGGCTTAGCGTGCCATAAGGAGGGCTGTGCAGAAAGAGACTCTGCTCAGGGCTCTGTAAAGCCCTGTGGAGTCTGTGGGGAACAATAAGAATGCAGAATATAAATGTAAGCTGCAGGCTGATGGGCCCATTAGGAATTAGGGCAGTCTTTGAAAGGAATCTGCAGAGATGATGCAAAACACCAAGCATGTGACCCAAATCATGGCAGGGCATATTGGAGGGAGAGGGGAATGGGAATGAGACATTTTCTAATCTGATTAGTCTGAAGTTTCCCCTGAGTGTGGAGAAGGGTCACTGCACAATTAGAGGCAAAGTTAGACTGAACATGGTCTGCTTAGCAGCTGAGCGGGATGACCTCCTCAAAGCTAAGCTGGGCTTGGAGACAGATGTGTTCAGAGACTGAGACGACTTCGAAGCAAGTTCTGAAACAATCTTTTTGCATTTAATGTCAAATCGTAAAGGCAAAGACAAAACAGTCTGCTGAGAGAATGAGAGGATGATGACTTGGTGGCCTCAGCACTGGATAAGAAACGTGTAGGTCCTCCAGAGGCCAGGCTCCCACATTACTGGACTTTCCAGGACAACTCATCCTCAAGGCCATCACAAGATAATCTAATAAACATCCACAGCTTCCTGACTAGAAGACAGCTTAATGTGTGAAAGGCATTCAGATCCAATTGTTGAAAAACATGGCTTCCTCTACATAGAAAGACACAGGTTTCTTCCAGTTCATTTCTAAGTACGAGTGTGTGGTCTATGGTCCCTGACTTAAATTTCTCTCCTAGTCCTCAATCAATTCTTTGCACGAGGTACTGTGCTGGGTATTTTATGTATGTTATCTCAATTAATCTTCCTAACCACTAGGAAATGGGTACTGTTATCTCATTCGAGAGATAAGGAATCTGAGGTTCAGGCAGGTCAAAACCCTTGCACAAGATCACACAGCTAATAAGTGGACTCAAAGAATTTAAGAGATGGGAGTGGAGGAAGGGGGTAAAATTGTCAGGATGTGACAACCCATTGGTTATTTATAGGTGGTAAATCAAACAGAAGCAGTATCTGCATCTGAATGAATCAAAGTTCAAGTCACAACTCTTCATTACAAGGTAAGGGATAAAGAGACACATAAATAGTGCTGTGAGAATTCTTAGGAGGAGATAATCACTCTGATGATCAGCCAAACAAATGCAACAGAGCTTCATGGACATGGTGCCACTTGAAATGGGTCTTGAAGGAAGAGCAAGCTTTCAGCAAGTGAAAACCATTGGGAGCTATTGCCTACTGAAGAAATAGCAAGAGAAAAGGCCAGAGGGGGGAAAAAAAAAAGGGAGCCAGGGAAGGCAGGAGGTATATGTATAAAACGCTAAACGGCCCATGTGGTTACACTACTGGGAACAGGAAGGGGAGTTTTGGGGGTGGGGGATGATAACTGTGAAGAACTCTGAGTCCAAGGCCTGCCTACTTCATCTCAGTTCCTTTACAGCAGGATCCCTCACACGGCTGCTAGCAAATAAAAGCAAATAGGGTTAAACAAAAACAAAATCAAAACAAAACCAATAGAGCTGATAATCTAGAAAATTATTCCAGGTCGATTCAATGTACACACACATCCAACTAGATTTGCCCTCTTCTGGGTTTCCCTCCTGACACCTTGGACCCTAGTTCTCTGACATAGAATTTGGCTTTATCTGTTCCTTTGGTTTCTCCTTTTGTCTCATACAAGGACTCCCCACTTCAGACCCTATTTGAGAACAATGCTCCAACTGTCAACCCGAAGCCCCACTATGGAGAAGGAGCTTAATTCAAAGTTAAAGAGATGGTCCTTCCTTAGAAAGCAAAGAGACACCACAGAAGGTTTGTGAGTAAAAGTGCAATATGATGTCACGTATTTTTGCTCTTAGAAGGTATTTAGCTGCTACATGTAAAGATGAATTTAAACATTTAGAGACTGGTGGATGAAAGACCAATGTGGTGGCACTGCAGTATTTAAGAAGCAATGTGGGTCAGAACAAGAATGATGATAGTGGAAATGGAGAGGAGAGAGTAGACGCAGGCAGTAAGGAAGAGGTAGAACTGTCAAGACATTCTAATCTACTGGCTATTTGTAGACAGTAACTCAAAATAATTAGAAGCAGAGGATGTGCCTTTGAAAAGTTCAGGATTCAAGTCACAGCTCTTCTTCTTCCACACTATGTGACTTTGGGCAAAATACCTCGTCTCTCTAAACCTCAGCATCCTTATGTATGAGATACGAAGGATAACAGTTCCAACCTCACCAAGCTGTACTCAAAAAGTAAATGAGATAATGTGTCCAAAACAATGATCACAATGCCTAGAACACAGCCAAAAATGTCAGAATTATCAAGACATAGAAGTCAGAGGAGGAGCTAGAGTGAGTGATGCTATAGGACGCATAAGAGGTGGCTGGAGTCTAGGTGGCTGAGAGGGACATGCCAGGAAATCAAAAGTCAGGTTCAACAGTAGAATTGATGTGTTTTAGAAAGCAGTTCACCATGCTCTCCTTTTATAGCATCATAATCTCTACGTTTTACATCTGGTGCTCTATCAGGACAGAGCCCCATGCTAATAACCCTAGGTTCTCTTACTGCATGTCTGTAGCTATCAGGAACTGCTGCTTTGAAAAACTTGCCCCGAATTTTACATCTAATGTCCTCCTAACCAACAAAGTTGTGTATTTCATTTTGCCCCAGGAATCTGTGGATATATAAGTGTGTATTCATGTTAAAAAGATAAAAAAATAATTTGTAATAGGTTCTCTAACATTCAAAATCAAGACAAACTTTTCCTTCAGTAACACTTAAATGGAGGTAGGTCACCAATAATATAATCAAAACAGTTAAGGGTAAATCAAGGATAATTAAAGGGAGATGTAAAACCAGGAATGGTCCCCCAAATAAAACTATGCAGGCCAATCCCTATCAAGAGTGGAACTCTAACTTACCTTGACAATAAGGATTCTAGAAGATCATCACTCAGAGGTAATCTGGAGGATTTGCACAGCCTTTTAATGTCTTTGGTGGGTAATACATTTTTTCTGCATTAAAACAGAGTAAATGAGCTTTCATATACCTTGTATACCTTTAGTAACAATTACATATTATAGGAAAGAAAATACATTTGTGATGTTTCCTGAGAATGTACACATGGAAGTATGAAAATTGGCATTGGAATTCACAATAAGAAAGAACAGTCATATTTCATTTCATCAACTTTTCCTATTTCAGAGGCCACCAGATTCCATCCTTACAAAGGCTTTTCCTTCAAGATGCAGATTCTTGGTTGGTGACAGTACAGCCTATTAAGGCTGCAGCCACAAGTGTTGCTCTAAGTAATTGATCTGCATTCTTGACCACTAGTCAAAAATGGTTCTGATATTTGAAAACATCTCTTAATTTGACAGGCATCTAGAGCCTCCAACACAAGTATGATATGACTTGAGGGTGTTTTTCTGTTCTTTTCCTTGGACCCAAAACCTTATAACCTGGAAGCCCCAGCTGGGGCCTCAATATTCACTTCAATTTTTTCAGATGCTAGCAGTTTTCTCGAGAGCAGCCCAACAGTCATTTTCTCCAGTCTTCTGGGGGCAAAGAAATGCTTGTCCAATGTTCTCATTCAGCCAACACTTTTCCAGGCATCAGGCAAAATTAGAACCAATAGGAAAGAAAGTTGGCTCTTTTCTTTGCAATGAGAATGTTTATATCTAGAATGAAAGCTTGTTGGATCTGGAAGAACCTCAGGTTATCTGGTCAAGCAGCCCCATTGTTCCCAAGAAGTGTTCCTTGAATGAAGGAGGGCCACACTTCTCACTCTGGGGAAGGGGCACCACCAGGGTGGAAGGCAGGGCCAGGGCCATGCAAAACTCAGGTCACACATCTTCTAGGAAGCTTGGGGAAGCTTAAAGAGTCAAGGAAAAATACCACCTTTATAAAAACTCAAAGAGGATGCATTATGGATTAATAAAAAAATGTTTATTTCTAAGACAAACTATGGGACCTGCACAGATATTCAGGGTATGCAGTTAGCCACTTGGGTGCAGACTTCAAGTTTGGGGATAAGGAAAGAGGTCACAAGGAAGAGAGATGGCAGTGGTGTGCAGCATAAGGATTAAAAGCTAGAGTGAGAACTAAGATTTTTCTAATTCTAGATGAAATCAGTAAATTTATATTTCTCCCCCACTGTATCAGGTCTGTAAGATGAATAAAAAAAAATTAAGATGTTTGCATCCAGTTGTATATAACAATGACTTAATGAAGCTCAACATGCAGACAATCAACGTATAAGAAATAGCTTATGCTGAGCTTCATTATTTTCAAGAAGAAATAATTTCAAAGAAATTCTACAGAATGTTTGCTTGAAAATTCCATTTTCTGTTTATTATAAAAGTTACATGTATAAATCCCCATCAGTAATAAAATAATGTAAAAAGATCACAACTCAAATTAACCCTTCTAACATTTTGATTTACTATGCTTCAGTTGAAAGCTTCTAGAAACAAATGAAAAGAATATGCAAGGGAGAGGCCTACTCTTTCAAAGGTACAGGGCCTCTCCTATTCCATCAACAAGACCAGCCTGGCCAACATGGTGAAACCCTGTCTCTACTAAAAATACAAAAAAAAAAAAAAAAAAAAAATTAGCTGGGTGTGGCGGTACAAGCCTGTAGTCCCAAATACTCAGGAGGCTGAGGCAGGAGAATCTCTTGAACCTGGGAGGTGGAGGTTGTAGTGAGCCGAGGTCATGCCACTGCACTCTAGCCTGGGCGACAGAACCAGATGCCATATTACACACACACACACACACACACACACACACACACAAAGCTCACCATCACTGGGAAATATCTGTACCCAAATACTTCTCCGAAAATGATTTAAGGTGTCTGTGCTAAATAGTAGAGTATGAGTATGATGACACATGTCAATTTCTTTTTGCCCTTTTTGATAAAATAGAAATTCCTTCATTACTCAGGTTCACAGAAATGTAAATGATTAGAATCAATAAAACAAAAGCTTACTTTTCTCGATCTTCATACACACAGGAATAAATGAAACTGTCGAAATTCTCAAACATATTTTTCTTGAACTTTTCGTGGGCCAGTGCGATTAAGAAATCCACATCTGAACAGGTGTCCTCAGGTGCACGGTAGTGACGTACAATGGTTACAAATTCTTGCTCTGAGAGGTTTCCAACAGTAAAAGACATCAATATGTCTCTGTAATAAAAAGGGAAAAACATTTATAAGCTGATACATAAGAATACAGTATTTTACCTCTCCTTCTATTTAAAAGATCCAAATTCTATTTTATAAAACTTTTACCAACTGTACAGAGGTCAGGTGATTTTTTTAAACTTAATTTCTCTACTTAATTTGGGAGCAGCAGGAAGGCACCAATGCCAGAATGGAAAATCATAGGCACTGTAGCTTATAAATAAAAATGGCATTTTGCCCAGAGTCAAACACCTACCAAATAACAGCCTGCAACCAGGAAGTAAATTTTTAAAGGCCTTGAATGGTCAAAAAACCTGTCACCAAGTACATGACTTTATTCAATGCCTATTAATCTTCCTTACACAAAATAGTAACAGGCTTGCGTTTCTGGTTTCCTGGGACATAAGATTTGTTAAGTTAATAAATTAGAAAGGTGTTTTGGGATAGGGAAAGCAATCATGCACATTTCTGTAATAAAAAGTAAAAATGGACACACCCTAGCAGTGAGAAAAAGAAAAAAAAATGAAACGTTAAAAGACCTATGTAAGCATACAGCTATCTGCATCTTTAGAAGGCAAATGATACTGAGATTATTAGGTAGAGCTTAAAAAACTAAATAACAACGTATCAATGAAGAAGACTCGAGGCCTAACAAATTGGCTGAATTGTTTTCAATGTAACTCTGTGTGAAAGCCATAAACTATGCAGCATACATCAGAAAGAATTACATCAAAACGATTAAAATGCAAAATGTTATGCTGTTACAGGAATAAGCTTCCACTGTCTAGAAAATTTATTTGCTGGAAATAATTCAGTTTCTAAGAATCCTGAATAAACAAGGGAATAGAAAATTTTATTTGGCCTTCTGCTAGAAAGAGGTCTTTCAGAATAAATGCTTTCAGTTCTTTCAGGTATTTCTGGACATTATCATTTAATAATTCTAGATTCTCCTAGTCAAGAATTTCCATAGAGTCTAGGAAAGCCTACAGTAATGATGTTGACCTATCTAAAGGAAATTCATTTCATCTAAATCTACTTCTCAAGTTTCCTCGGTTGTTTTGTTTTGTTTAAATTTGGTTTTGCTTTTGTATTTTTAATGAGAAATGAATGCAAAATCCAACCAAGATGATCCCAGAATTTCAGCAAGTCAGGTCAGACAACCAATTAGTAATATTGGCAGGAGGCTCGCTATATGGAAAACACTGTAAAAGGCTCTCTGGCATTTTAACTTTTCCGAGTCTGTTATCTGTTTGCACTGTCCAAGCATATAGAAGAACTTTCAAAGCCAGAAACTGGTAGGGCCACTTAAATAAACAGTAATAGCAATAACTTCTGCCATTTGTTGAGTACTAACTGTGTGCCAGGTCCTGTGCTAGCGGGGACTTCTGACATCTAGCCTAGGAGGTGGTGCTACTATTATCCCCACTGTACAGATGTGAACTGAGGCAGAGAAATGTTAAGTAACCTGCCTAATGTCACAAAAGCCAGAATGTGAACCCATGTAGTCTGGCTCTAAAGCCCATGCTCTTGCATACTACTCTATCCCTCTTCTGTTGGGACACAGAAGGTGGAGAGAACTGATGGAGTGGGGCTCAGTCAGGAAATCTGCCTAAAGGCAGTGGGGTTTAAGCTGATTTTTTATGAACCTCTATTGCCTTTATTGTCTGTCATCTCTGCTTTGAGGGCTATCACTAACCATTATTTAAAAACTAAGAGAAAATAATTTCAGAAAACCTGAGTCACCAGCCATCACTGACAGAGGGCTAAGTAACCACAAAAGAGCCACTCCAAGTAAAGCCCCTGGCTCCTCTACAACACTGGTCAAGAAATAGTCATGCCATGTGTGTAAAATGGAACACTACACCATCATTAAAAGTATGATGTTTGGGGCCAGGTGCGGTGGCTCATGCTCATAATCCCAGCACTTAGGGAGGCCAAGATGGGCAGATCGCCTGAGGTCAGGAGTTCGAGACCAGCCTGGCAAACGTGGTGAAACCCCATCTCTACTAAAAATACAAAAATTAGCTGGGCGTGGTGGCGCACACCTATAATCCCAGCTACTCGGGAGGCTGAGGCACGAGAATCATTTGAACCCAAGAGGCAGAGGTTGTGGTAGCTGAGATTATGCCACTGCACTCCAGCCTGGGTGACAGAGTAAGACTCTGTCTCAAAAAAGAAAAATAAATAAATAAAAATAAAAAAGAAGATTATAGAAGAATATATCTAAAAGTT